TTTCAAATTACTTCATAATAGAGACATGCACATACATTGTTTTATGTTAGTATTATTTTGTAATGCATTAAATTGCAAAAACAATTATGTAAGCCTTTATAAACAGCAATAATTACAGTGCTTAGGCAATAATGGGAAGCAGATCTTGTTTTAAGCTTAAATTACAAATGCAATCTATCGTTTTAAAAGTTGAATTAGTGAATTTATTTTGCAGTAATGGTTACTGATTAACAAAGCTAATCACACACACACTTAAATTAGTCATATTAAAAATGTACAAAAATGGCTAAACAAATCATAAACTTAATGCTTAAGCCATATCTGGAGCTCTTACCCGTTTACAGCCAGCTGGGATTTTCTTCATGGATGCAACGGCAATTGTAGTTTACTTTATCACATCTCTTCTTCCTTTTTGGTCAAATTGCACTCATTAAAAGTCGAGGCATTCGTTTTAAGTATTGTATTTGTAGGTTTTAGAGGGTGGTGGTATGTAGAGGTCTGTTGTGTGCAGAGATCCAATGCTGGATGAAGACAAATCTCCTCCTCAGAAACTGTAAAGCATCGCCAACCGTTTTCCACGCCTGTTCAGCACTAACAGTGCGTCCCTCTAGTTCTATCTTCTTATATTACATGTATAATTTACTGAGACATTATAAGGGAGAGGTCTGAGAAAGCCTTTAAATCATTAGGCCTTTATTGAGATTATGTTGGTGAAAAGATCAGTCAATTGTCACATGCTTTACTATCAAACTGTTCTCACAACAGTTCAATAGACTTTGATATAATTTCCCCACATTTATCTGCTACAAATTAAGGTTGAATATATAATTATTCAATCTATAGTTATCTTTAAACTGTGTAAATCCATACCAAGTACAAAGAATGCTTTTGTTATAACTTCCTCCATTAGATGTAACAGTAAGATGATTTGTGAAATTTATGGAAATATGGAAATCAGTTTGAATTTTGTACATGCATTTATTTTTACTAAATTATTTTATACCAACCCTCATCATTTCCTTCCACCCATTTCATTTTAGGCATTTAATTGAAAATTGTGGGGGGGGGGGTACATAATAATTACATGTGTAAAAATCAGTAATGGTAGCCTATGTAAAGCAGATTTGTTAAGATCATCATAACGTGTAAACAAACCTATGTCACTAATGAATTTTACCTTAAAAATGTTTTAACAAAAGATTCTTGTAAATGAAGTTACATTTGGTTGCCCTCTGCTGGTATCACAATTCAAGCACATTCAGTTGTTAGGCCTATTCAAATTTTCAATATCTTAAATATTCAGCCACATTACTATAAAGTCCTGCTAATTTTAAAACACATTTATACCAGGAACATGCAAATACACAATTTGTCACAAGATCAAGCAGGAATTATCCATCATTTCCTTTTGAAAAGGAGAAGCACATTTTTAAAAAAAGTGCTAAATATGTTTGTTTTTTTTACTATATAACAGTGTCCTTATTCTTTAAACAGTAAATCTATTCAGTGTGATTGTCATCACATTTTTAAGTAATCCCGTGAAATATACATTTTTACCTGTAAAGTCTTCTATTTTTCTTCCCTCTTCTTTCGTGTATTGATTCACCTGTAATTGAAACAGCACACAGCTGAAATAAATATAAATAAGTAAATAAATAAATAATAAAAGAATAAAGCACTCTTAGAGACACGCAACAGTTTGTACGTTTTGCTCAATTAAATGAATCGGTTCTTCGAACGAACTAACGTTAACTGACTCGAACAATCCAAGAAGCGCTAAACCATCACTCGCCGCGCTCTCTACTGGCTTTTCTGCGCTATTAGCATTTAAGTAGTTAGCAAACGTTTGAGGGGACACGCAACTAGCTTGGTAAAGGACATAAATATTGATTTTTAAACCATTAAATAGGCTTATTTATTTTACATGTAGACTTAATGCGATTTGTATTATATATGACGACGTTATTTTTGCTGCATGCATTTTTGTTTGTTATGTGACTTGAGTAACGTTATACTAGCTAAGTTACCTTCCCTCCCAGAAATTATGATCTGTTTATCTTTAGGGGAGCATGCTTTTACCCGTTAAAATGGCATCGTTTTACCTTAATTTCCGTTGGTTCAAAAACGTGAAAATATCTGGTTTTCGAGTTAGCTCGCGAAACTGTGTTATTGAAATATTTTTACGTTTTTGACCGAAATTGATAGGTATATTAAACCGTGGTTCTAATAAACTGAATTGCATTTCTTTGTGTATTACTTATTTATGATTTTTTCTGAATTGCATTTCTCGCCTGAGCAACAGGGACTCGATTGAGCTGTTAATGGAGATGGAAGACCCTTCAGATCCGAGTCTGTGTCTGCTCTCATCGTCCAAGAATGTGTCCAGAGATGCGACCAACATCATACCACCACCATCAAACCTGCAAGACCCAGTCATAGAGTCACAACTGTGGCCAGACGCCATGTCTGATTCAAGTAAGACAAATAGCAAGTTTAATCTCTTTGCTCTTCGTGTTCTTCTGAATGTCCAAACCAGAATTTATGCCTTTCTCATTTGAAACAGAAAGCAGAAAGACTTCCACACCCTCTCCATCAACCTCTGTCTGTCCGGAAGCAGAGGATGTTGAGTGTCTGACACCTGTGGGCTCAGGGAAGAGAACCAGAGTCTCTGTGAATAAGTGCCATGTTTGTAGGAAAGAATTTAAAACAACCAGTGCACTTAAAACACACCTCTTGACCCACAGACAGGATGGGCCTCATTTCTGTGGCGTCTGTCAGAGAGCATTTAAACACCATCATCAGCTGTAAGTATCACACATGCTGGCATCTGAGTGATTCAGTTATGATAACTGGTTCTCTAGATCAGAGGTTTTCAAACGGGGATTCCCAGGGGCCACAAGGGAGTGCTAGTGGTCTGTGAAGAAGTTCAAAGAAAACAGTCCAAAAAATGCATAATATAAGGATAATTCACCCAAAAATTAAAACTGTATCATCATTTACTTACTCTTAAGTTCAGGGCTCACCAGACTCGGTCCTGCAGAGTTTAGCTACAACTTACCTCAACACACCTGCCTGGAAGTTTCAAGTATACCTAGCAAGACCTTGATTAGCTAGTTCAGGTGTGTTTGATTAGGGTTGGAACTAAACTCTGCAGGACACCGGCCCTACAGGACCGAGTTTGGTGACCCCTGCTTAAGTTGTTCCAAACCTGTATGCATTTCTTTTTTTCTGCTGAACACAAAAGAATGTATTTTGATGAATGTGTGTAACCAAACAACTTGTAGTCCCCATTGACTTCGATAGTATTTTTTCCAATCTATAGCAGTAAGTGGGGACCAGCAACTGTTTGTTTACCAACATTCTTCAAAATATATTCTTTTTTTTTTTTTTGTTCAGCAGAAGAAAGAAACTTGAGGGTGAGTAAATGATGACAGAGTTTCCATTTTTGGGTGAACTATCCCTTTAAACAAAATAGGTGTCAGTCAAGGTGTCAATAAAAAAAAGAGGAAATTAAAATGAAATAAATGTGATTAAAATAAATAAAAATTGATTAAAATATTAAACAAAAACTAAGTGATTGAAATAATTAATACATCTAATAGTACAGTTCTGTAAAAATTAGAAATAATATGTAATAATGTAATTACAATAGAAACTACATATTTTCCAAATAATATTTTTCATATATAATATAGTTTACTTTAAATGTAAGGGTGGGAGTCTGTTGCAAGAGCATGTTCATAATTGACCAGCTTAATCTAGCTAGAAATCATGTAAAAGGCGGGATAACGAATAGGTTTGTTGTATAACACACTACTGTCTGGAAATATTAATTAATTTAGTGCACTTTTAAATTAGGCTAATCTTTTATTTTTATATTTTCTACAAATATGAATATTTTTCATTTTTTCCCCCCACAAAATTCATTTTTTAGTCAATTTTTATTATATAGCTATCATTATACCATAACTCCATGCAATGCAAAACAATACTGATTGGTTTGTTGTTTTCAACACCATCAATTTTGTAAATTCAACAACATCAAATAACATTATCTTGGTGACAGAAATTGATTTAGAATATATGAACCAAAGGTTTATGTTTGCAAGGTACAAAATGAAGATGTGCAAGATGTACATAGATGTACAAAATTGACCCAAACCACACTCAAACTGGCCTCGAGTGAAGGGGCCATCCATTTTTGAGCCCTGCTTACTATGGCAACCAGTGTAAATTTACTGAATATTTCCTAAACTGTCTGTAAAAACATAAAATGCTGTTTTTGACATATCTGACCCTGGACCACAAAACCAGTCATAAGGGTCAATATTTTTTAAAATGAGATTGATACATAATCTGAAAGCTGAATAAATAAGCCTTCCACTGATGTATGGTTTTTTATGATAGGACAATATCTGGCCGAGATACAACTATTTGAAAATCTGGAATCTGAGGGTGCAAAAAAATCAAAATATTGAGAAAATCACCTTTAAAGTTGCCCAAATGAAGTTCTTAGCAATGCATATTACTAATCAAAAATTAAGTTTTGATATATTTACAGTAGGAAATTTACAAAATATCTTCATGGAACATGATCTTTACTTAATGTCCTAATGATTTTTGGCATAAAAGAAAAATCAATAATTTTGACCCATACAATGTATTTTTGGCTATTGCTACAAATATACCCCAGCGACTTAAGACTGGTTTTGTGCTCCAGGGTCACATTTTATAACTGTGTCAGTGTCATTGCCTTCTTTTTTCTTTGCAGCATTTCTCACATGATGACCCACCACAAGAGAAAGAGCTATAACTGCACACAGTCTGGCTGCCACAAAACTTACGATGACAAGACCTCCCTAAAACATCACTGTGCCTCTCGACACGGAGTCCACCTCACGTCTCCTTCCTCCTCTAGACTCTCTTCCAACTATGACCTGCCGGCCTCAGCGTGGGAGCCAACGGTTAATCTAACTGCTTCTGACTACCTCTTTACCTCTCAACCAAAGCCTGTTTCAGCTCCTGTGCGAAAGAATCCCAGTTATTCTGGAAAACTTTTCGGTTCTTATGACACAGGAGATCTTGGGATGGGGCGCCATGCAGAAGATGCCCATCCCTCTCAGGTTAAAAATTCAACATGTCAAGAAAGCTGGACTTTAGCGTCTGCCAGTGACTCTTATAAGGTCGAAGAAAACAATAAGATGCTAAACTCCACCCAGTGGACCCTGGGTATCGAAGAAAATCCAGTGGTTTCACGGAACCCATTTGATGTCCATGTTTTAGAAACCTATCTTGATTTTCCTGAATCTTACCCAGAAGAATTGAAAGAGATGCTCTCATTTCAGCCTAACAGAGAGGCACCTACCACCAGCGTGAGTTGCCCTGTGAGGCCACAAGCTTCAGTTTGCTCCAAACAGCATTGTCCCATACTGCTGAAACACAGTCAGAAGGAGCCCAGACCTCCGAGCAAGTTAAAGCGACGGCGCACCTTTTCCAGTTTCAGTTATCCTGCTGTATTATACCCTGAACCAAAGAGTGATTTTGACTGTAATCTTGCCGATCCTGTACTTGATTCTCCTCCTGCAACATTGCCCAACAGTAGGAAGAGGAAGTCCTGCTCTAAGGACGTCCTGTCTGATGTTCCAACTCCTCCACTGCCTGTTCCTCAGCCCACTTGTCATAAACGTTCACGACCACGCTCTTCCTACCTTGTCTCACCAAGTCAAGTGGCACTTGCATCCTTCAGCACTTACCTCGGAAAACAGTTTTTACAAAAGGTACACAACATTGCACTTTTTCATATGCCATCATAATCAGTGTTTTGATAATCAGTGTTTTACATTTCATCGTGTAGGAGCCCATTTTGAAATCAACAGGAGAGGAACCAAACGCTGGTTGCAGGTTAGAAAATTATCACTCTGACTTGAGGGCAAATATGAATTTATATAGTAGTTATATGTAACATTTTAGAACACTGAAAAAGTAGAAAAATATATATCAAAAGATACTTTTGGATTTGAATGATTTTTTCATAATTGAAATCACAATTGTATAATTTGCTGTTATTTTGTGGTTTCCACAACTGTGGGAACCCTAACTATTGCAATTCAGTCTTTTATGGTACTTTTATAGAGCTTTTTTTGTCCGTTTTGGAGCTTGACAGCTGCTAGTCACTAGAAAAGAGTGGAATGAAAGTTTGTTTGTTTATGATTTAACACCATGCAAGCTACCTCGGCTATGCGGCATGAAAGTTAGTAATTAATGCCGAAATTTTCTGAGAAACTATTCCTTTAAAGAGCTGCTTCCACTGAGGTATGTTTGCTAGCAGACCTTACACAAGATCTTCACAAAGATATTCAGAATCAGCAGGTCTATGAAAAATCAGTTGAGTTCACTCTGGTTTGTTTCCCTGTAGAACATATAAAAGAACTTCATCTGTCCGTAGAGCTCAGTCGCAGCCCTCATGCTCTCAAGAAGCTGTTGGAACAAAGGAGGAACATGATTCACAAGCATCCACCTCCACACTGGTGCTAACATTAACTCAAGTATTATTGTGACAAGCACAATACTTAAATTGAAACTTAACTATTTTTTAATCACAGGATGATGGACAGAAGGGGGCTTCAGGACAAAAGTCCAAAGGGATAAACCTGTCCCCCTTGATCATGCCTGTGTCTGTCCCAGCCTCTGCGACAAACGTTTTAGGCCCCCAAGCTTCCACACAAGTAATGTTGTACCAATATACATTGGATATGCCAAGATGACTTGTTATCATTGTTCAAAGTTTCTGTCTTCCCTAGGCCAAGAGGTCACAGACTCGTAAAGGTGCATCTAAGAGGTCTTGTCACCCTTTAAACTTCCTCATCATCCCCAGTCCACCTCTGCCTCGTTTATCTTCCCCAAAATGCACCGAAAATAAGGAAACCCAGGGTTTGCAGAGAAGCTGTGGCATAGGCGTTTACCCCAGCCAGCTGCGCTCGCCAAACTATCTGGCAGACCACCCGCTGAGCCCTAGTTTTCATCCCCCTCCATACACCCCTCAGCCTATGCTGAGCCCTCTCCGTTCTGGGACAGGCCTCTATTCTAAAAGCCTACCGCAACATCAGCCATGCTCATCTCTACCCTGCACCTTTGGTGAGCACTAAACCCAAGATTTCAGCTTTGACTCGATGTCTGAACCTATATTTACTGATTGAGTTAACTTTTGTACAGAACTGAGAAAAATAATGTAAATGCTTTTTATTGTAGCTCCAATTTCTTGCCAAATCATTTTAACTTTGAAACCCCACAGATGGTGTCTCCTTCCCAATCGACAACACAGCCATCAACATACAGCCGTGAGTCTGTAATAAATTAATTCGTATTAAATTAAAGTTTTTAGTTAGTCCACCAAGATTATTACAGTTAGAATTTATAATGAATTACCTGTATACAGATGATCATGCTTTTGTTTACATTTCTCTTATTTACAAGACTGTCCATTTCCTTCTGTGTTAATGGCAGTTTCTTGTGTCATTTAGAAGGATAAATGTAGGTTCACGGTTTCAAGCAGAGATCCCCCCAGTGCGGGACACGCTGTACATGCTGTATGAAGAACACCCCGCTCAACTTGTCTGGACTCCTTGGAAAGATCTCTCTACTAACACAGAAACACAACAGAGGGGTAAACACACCAACACACACTCTTACTCAAAAAAATAGTTTAAATAAAGGGGGGCAAAAAATTTGTGGAGTCAAAATGATCGAGAACCACCGTTTAAACCACTGGATGTGCCCAAGTTTCGCCAAAATCTAATCACCATACATTAAAATGTTACATAAAGTTGCAATTTTACAACTTGCTGCCTTTTATTCTTTAAGCATGTGTAAAGGGTTAAAAATGATCACACTTGGTCCTTTCTGTGCTCCAGTCAAAGAGCTGTTAGACATGTGCTGTTCCAGTTTGCTACCAGGAGGAGGCACCAACATTGAATTCGCTCTCCACTGCCTTCATGAAGTTCAAGGAAACATAATGGTGAGCTTATTCATCATACTGAGTGTGTCATTTATAGATATTTGTTTAATACAGCTCACTTATTCAACTATCAGGCAGCACTGGATTTACTCTTAATGAGAGGAGATTTTCGGACCTCCTGGCACCCTCTGAATGATTACCACTACACAGGTACAAACTCTTTACTGTATATCCAAATACATAAAGCATTCATAAGTCCTTCATAAACGATGTCGCTCATTGTAATCGGCAGGGTCAGACCACTGGACAGCGCAAGAGATGAAAGTGTTCAAGAAAGCTCTGGTTGAACATGACAAGGACTTTCAACAGATTCATAATGTGGTATGAAAGTTCAGAAAAAAGTTATTTCAAAATGAATTAGGTTTTTTTTTGTGTGTGTGTGGTAAGCGGTGTCCCTCACTCAATGTTAATCTATGGGACTTTTCCCATTTCACCATATACTGGTGGAAATCATACATTTAATAGGTTTGAATAATAATAGCACACATTTGATGTATTATTCAGATCCATAATAGAAATGATAATGGATGAATAATATACTGATAAGCAATACTTTGTTGTTTGTTTAAATCCCTATAGAATTCTGAAGGAATGAAACTACTTATTTCGTAATTTTTGCATGGGTTTTTGATTAAACACCTGAAGAAAGGTCTATGGTTATTACATGCCTACAAAATTGAGTCTCTAAATATACTAAATTGACGTGTGCTATGTAGTTGCAGACAAAATCAATAGCCCAGTGTGTGGAATATTACTATAACATGAAGAAGCTGAAAAAGTTCAAGCAATGTGTCCGAGCCACAAATAAAAAGGATGAAGGTGGAGAGATCTCTGTAAGTTTCATTTCAGTGAATGGACACAAGATCGGTTATTACATCTGAATATACATCTAAAAACATTGATTAAATCTGTCATGTACTGCTATTTTCCTAAAGGCATTCAAATACTCACAAGAGCACAAGCCTGAACAGATAAATGGGAACACTGGACAGAAGACAACAGCTGCTCAAAGTGAGGTGTGTGCCAGGTTAGAGACACACACACATATATATATATATACACACATACATGTATAACACACTCAGAAAATATTTCATTTTGTGAAATTAAGCTAAAAATAATACATTTATGACTATCCTGTCACTTAGTCTTTAGCGATGACATGAAACAATCAACAAAACACTTTAATTCCATGAATAAATATTAGCAAATTTTAAAATGACACATCAAAATTAATTTGACCTTTAAATCCAGAGGTGTGAAGAGCCACTATTCCCCCTCAGTGAGGATAGAAACTCCAGATGGTGGTTGGCAAGCAAGGACACAGGTCAGAGCAGAAGACTAAAGTGAACTTAATTCCAATCAGTATTTTATAAAAATCCTTTATGAAGTGCTGAAGTGTGTTTTAGACTACAGTAAATAATCAACTCATTGTCTAGCAATTAATATGGACCTTGAAATTAGGCATACATTTTATCCAAAATAAAGTTGTCATCAAAAGAATAGCCAACTTTAAGTAGTTTTTGTTGTTCAAAATTTGAGAAGTGCACAAGGCGCTAAAGTTAATAGTATTTGATGTTTTTAAAATGTACCAGACTGGTGAATTTAACATGACAGGGTTTCAGAAAAAGGTTTCTTGGTTTTTATTTTCGATGTTTGTTCAACTGTTTGACAAGTTTAGGTTCAAAATGTTCTCTCAGTTCAGATTTATGTCACTACCAATCATTACAAACCTACATAGTTTGACAATTCTACAGATTTTCCTTTTTCCATTTATTATCTACAATCCGTTTAACCTATAATAAGGTTATTAAAATGCAGTTTTATCTTATTCCATTAAAAAAAACTGATGATGTCCATGTATAACACAATGTCAATGCATAACATGTTTGCTGTTTTTGATATTACTATAAGGTGTTTGGTTGTCCAAGCCTTCCTTTGTTGTTCTAATAGAACAAATGTTTTACTAGTATTGTTAAATATGTTATACAAAATAAATGAGAACTGAAAAACACAATTTTCCATTGGTAATTCCCAGACTCCAGAATATTTCATAGAACACTTTAATCTGAACATGCTACCGATAGAATACATTGTACATTTCTACTGTTGCAAGTATGAAAAAGATAACTAACACCTCATTTGAATGTACATATCCCCCATAAATATAGAGGAGGAAGTAATAACATTCAAATGCATGCATGAGGTTGACAGTGCATTCCATGTAATGCCTACAACACGGTGTAAAGTAACAATAATATTGTAACACTAACAGTATATGCTGAATGAATCAATAATACAACAGTTACTTTCTGGCCTGGAAATTGATTGACCAAATTTGATTTGCGGTGTTCCATAACAGAGTATGCAGAGATCAAGTTGGCCTGATTTTCTATGACCAAATCACAGCCGTGCTGATATTCAGAACAGCAGCATGGTTGCTCATATTGCGTAATTGTGTAATGCATCAGATACAAGTTAAGAATATAGTAAAACAGATTTAGGCCAAATTTAGTAAAACAGTATCTACATTAGTCACAAGACAATGACTAAACGAATCCTCAGACCTCGTAGAGACCAAAGACTATATTAAATGAGTGTCACAAATTCCTTGTAAAAGGAATGCGTTTTCAAAACCTATTTACATAGCAGTATAACTGTATTTATCGTAACCCTTGTGTCTAAAATAACTAAGTAACTAAAGGAGCTTATTGTGGGATGTGACAAAAAAAAAAAACCTGTTAAAGGGATAGTCCCCCCCCCCCCCACACACACAATTCAGATGACTAAAATATGACAAACTAAATCAAAATTTGCTGTCAAAATTAACACTGGTCAGAGAGCTCTTAGAATTAATCAAAAATATCTTAATTTGTGTTCCGAACATGAACGGAGGTCTTACGGGTTTGGAACGACATGAGGGTGAGTAATTAATGACATTAATAACAATTTTTGGGTGAACTATCCCTTTAACGAAACAGTTGTGGTCCCCATTGACTTCCATAGTATTTTTTCTATAGGGTGAGTAAATTGAGGGTAAATGATGACAGAGTTTATATTTTTGGATGAATTACCCCTTTAACGTGACTTTGTACATATGTACATAAACAGTGATCATGACTCTTCCTCAGACACACGAACCTTACTTTCATAAGACACTAGAGTCTGGTAAAGACTTTCTCTGCTTTGGTTTCCACTGACACTGTTCCACTGCTCAATTTCACGTGCAGAGGAGCCACCTTTAAGCAGATCCACATAGTCAGTGTTCTGATGAAGAAACAAAATGTGGTCAAGGTGTTTAGACCCCAGTGTGGCCCTTCTTTGGGTCACTGGGGACTCCCTAGGGGCAAAGGCTCGATTGGCGGACACAGAAGTTGCAGGTATGGACAAGTATTTCCGTGCCAGTCTGGCCACAGCAGGAAAGCGATGCTCCTTGTTGTGCCACCATTGCAGGGGCGAGAGACTCCGTCTGCAAAGTGGCTCTGCTATGTAATTCTCCAGCTGCTGGTGAATCTCTGGCATTCGCTCAGTAGGATCCTCGCCCAGAAGAATATCGTACATGCTCTGCGGGAGAGGACTCGTCCGTATACGAGGCGTGAGCTGTAAATCTCCTCTCAGCGGCGAGGTCATACTGGTCCTGCTAGAACGTTTTTTACGGTCACTGGCATTCTTGAAAGGTGATCCAACCTCAAGCGTGTTTTCATTTACCTGTTCTGGAGACGATACGGCAACAGATGGCTCGCTCGGCTGCAGCTCAACGCTGTCACCTTCCTCCGCCGATCCAACCGATTCTGGAGAATCTAAAGCCATTGCAGGAATTGGCAAGGAATCATTCAATCCAAAATCTGCAGGTTCTCTACGTTCATCCACAGGCTCTTCCATTACCATGCTTTGTCTCCTCTCTCCATTCATTCCTTCGTTACTTGTGAAAGCCTGAACAGATAGCAGCTCTTTCACTTTGTCGTGCAACTTGCTGCGAGCATGTGGGCTGAGAAACCGCAACTCTTTAAAACGCGGGTCCAGAAATGAGGACAATATGGCAGGGCAGTCCAAAAGAGCATCTTCATCACTCAGACTCCAGCGTTTGTCCATACCAGCACGAATTCTCTCCATAACTCCCCTAACCACTGGACAGGTGCATTCTGCAATTTTCTGTCCCAGGAGCCGAGACACTCCTTGCAGGCACGGCATTAGGGCTGAAATGGGTCCATTGATATCCTCGCTCAAAAATGATGCTGCAATGCGAACCGTTTTGAGCACGGGAACCAATTCATGTATAAGACGCCACTGGTGATCTGCCAGATTTGTTGCTACTTTTTGCTCCTCTAGGACAGAGCTTATTACCCACTTGAGCTCCAGCAGACTCTCACACATCTCAATGGCAGTGGTCCAGCGTCCTGGATTGTTCAAGACCAGGCATGCGGACTCTTTATTAACAGCCTTTGCTTTCTGGCTCAGTGCTGTAGAAGCATTCACATCATGCTGGAAATGTAGGACGATGGCACGAGCATCTGCCAGACCTTGTCTGACAGTCTCCACACAAAGTCCTTCCTGGACACAGAGTTTCAGGGCTTGTCCAGCACAAAGCAGTGGTGCCCATCCCTCTGGAAGATTACCCGGAGGAGGATGGCTGGGTCCAGCAAATTCTTGCTGATATTCCTGATCAATGGCCATATTCTCCTGCCCTCTGGACTCCGATCCACTGGGGGTGTCATGCACGACACAGAAAACAAAGTTCTCTGGAAGCTGGAACTCGGAGAGGACTGCTCTCAAGGTGTCCGCAAAGCTCGCTTGCCCTCTCTCAGAAGGGTTTCCTTTGAATTCTGCTATCGGTCGGGTCTCGAGCACACAACGAGCCAGGCGCCAGTGAGAGTCGACAAAATGCGCACTGACTGTAAGGTAATACTGACCATCCCCATCAACCCCACACCCATCTATGGAACGCCAGTATTCGGTGCAGAGGGTCAGACAGTGAGAAGCTAAACTGGTCTGTAGATGCTGCTGAAGGCATTGCTTGAGGATGTGGTAGCGATGCCAAAGTAGACTGCCAAGCAGAGATGGAGAAGGCACAGGGTAGTTAGGCTCTAGGCAACTCAGTAAAAGCTTGAACCCCCTTTCTTCCACCACAGACAACGGCTGAAGGTCTCTGAAGACCATTTCCAAGATAAGATCAGTCAACACCTCTGCTCGCTTGTTGCTGCAGGCCTTTGTGCCACTGCGGATGCTGCTGCCTCCAGCAGTGCTGCTCATCTCCCCTGCAGGAAAATTATACATTAGGCAGCCCAAATCTGTTTCTTGGTGCACAATGGCATTTGAACTGGAAGCACCACTTCCTGCTGCACAATCAGGGGCATATGTTGTCCGGGCAGGTTTGGTCTCCGCCATCTCAGCTGGCAGTATTTCTTCCTGCTCCTCTTTGACAGTAACAGGTAGCACTGGTTGAAATGGAGCATTGCCTGTGGTGTTACATCTGTTACCATGTAAAGAGGTCTGAATGTGAGAATGCAATGCTGCAGGAGTGGGGATGCCTGCTGCGTTGTGAGGGGGAACTGCTCCATCCCGAATGCTGTGTTTGCGTCCTAAGTGTTCTCTCATGGAAGTAGTGCTGTTGTGAAAGGAAAGCTGCCTTTTACAGTGGTTGCACTCAACACGATACAGACTTAACTGTGTGTAGTGGTTCCACACTTTTGACGTGCGGCGATCAGAAAATGGCAAAAAACGCTGCATTCTCCGACGAAGAATTTGACCGTTGTGACTTCCAGGATGCATTTGAGGTGGGAGATCCATGTCTGTGGTGAAAGAGAAATTAAAACAATTACTTTTTTTGAGTGTATGTCATTTAAGTACAACATGATTACACAGGAACTTATGTAATTATGCTAACTAGCACACTTACAATTAAATTTACTTTGTAATGAAAAAAATCTTTAATCCTTCCTTAATGTGATGAATCTCAAGAGTTTTTATAACATATGTTTTCATAGAAATAAGTCCATGGTTAGAATGTGGTCCTTGCAAACTTGTTTACTGGGGTCAACAAAATGTCACAATTGTACAGAAACCCCAGTGCTGTACACAATCTTTGTAAATCTAAAGAAATAGCATTATCAGCACTGTCTTCTTGTTTATATTCTGACTTAATTGTAACATTTTTTTTAATGCTGTGACATACTCAGAGCTAAAATATAGCTTTAAAATATAGCTAACAAATATAGTTTGTTTTGTTTTTAATCCAAATAGCTAAAATACTAGTCCACTATTTGTTTTATCTCAGATGTGGTCAGTTGTAGAACACTGTCACATAACCTAAATGCATCCAAAATGCAACACAGTGAAATGCTATAAAAGCGCAATTGTATGAGGAAAAGGTTAATTTTTTTTTATTCTGTAACTTGACACTATTTCATGAGTTCATCACCTTTTGTCTTATTTACCATTTATATCAAAAGGTCCACCGGCAGTGTGAAATTATTTAAAAACTACAAATATACCATCCACGTAGTATCTTACGTTGTTATTATTATTATTATTACTTGATAAAACTGTTTAAATAATAATTATACCAGAAAACGGTGGTAAATATAGCATGTCACACAGCGGAACAATCAAATATTTTTTTTGTTTATCGCGGGAATATTTAGAACAAATAATAAGATTTGTATTAAGAGACTAACTCCATGTGAGGTATAGCGCTCTCTCTTGCTCGTTACAAGAGCGTTTATCCAGAGAACAATAACCATGCATAATGATACTAATGAAACAATTCCGCTATTATTTACATCAAACGTCACTGGATGTTCTTCCGGGCGAGCACAAGGGCCATTACGGTTTCATCCGCTTCCAGCTCGTGTGTTACCACCAATAAATAGTACACGCTTCCGCAATGCTGACTTATATAACTAATTAATTTTCTCGTCGCAAAATACATAATACCTTACTAATAACATATTTAAAAAAATCTCAATTCCTGCACACCCTCCGCTCGTTTGTGACCTGCACACTGGATGTGCTCGGCGCGGTGGCCGCTAGGGAACTAGGGTAAGTTGTACACAGACAACAGAAACGAAAAATGTACATCAGTCGCGTTTATATATCATAACTGCTCGACTCTGCTCGTGTATTTATGATATATGATTGTTACATAATTGTAAATATGCAATTATTAACTGATAACTACTAATAAGTAGTAATGTAAAAACCACAATTCGGTTATTCTGAAAACAACTATTTTGCAACAATCCCCAAAGTCTTAGCGAATTTACTTCCGATTTCCGCATGATGTGTCAATAAAACAAATAACTTCATTTCAGGCGATGTGAATGGGATATTGCTTGGATATCATTCCCTACAGTCAGGCTCAAATTTAATCCAACAAAATGGATTATTCTGGAAAAGAAAAGGAAGCTATGGCCATCATGGCTGAGGCAGACAAAAAAATGAAAACGTCACATTCGTTATTCGGGTCGTTTTTTGGGTAAATCCATTAATGATGTTTTTGCACCTCTGCGATATTGAATGTGCAAATCTTGAACATCACAATTGAACAAAAATACTAAGTATCAAATACAATTCGTTTGTAACAAGCAATGTTAAAATATAATTTGAATTAACAAATATAATCGAGAAGCAATACTTTCGTAAGTGCATTATTTGTAATACAATGTTGTTCGCATTTAGCTGGCTTAAATCTACCAGAGTTTATTTTTCCAGATGGCACAAAAGTGAAATCAG